CTTGAGACGGTCGACGTGTACGGTCTCGCGTCCTCGACGGCGCAAATCTGGTGATTGTGTTAACGGCTCGATGATGTAATTCACCGGGGAGGTCGCGTCAATGATACGGTACGGACCATGGTACCGGGCCAGAAGTTTAGAAGAAAGGCCAGGAACGTGCGGGGGCACCCAAAGCCACACAAGGGAGCCAGCACGAAATGTAGCAGCTATGCGGTGAGCGTCGTCATGTCGAGTCTTTTGTAGACCTTGAGCCTCACTTGTCAGAGACCGAGCCAACTGACGGCAGTCTTCAGCGTACCTGGCGACTTCCGAAAGCGGGGAGCACTCAGATGCATCAGGGCGGTACGGTAGTATAGTGTCAAGGGGGTGGGAAGGCTCGCGGCCGTACAATAGAAAGAACGGAGAAAAACCGGTAGTCGCTTGCGTCGCGGTGTTATAAGCGAAGGTAACAAAGGGCAATACAGCGTCCCAGTTAGTGTGGTCGGAGGAGGTGTACATCCTCAGCATGTCGCCAAGTGTGCGGTTGAACCGCTCAGTAAGACCATTTGTCTGTGGATGGTATGCGGTAGATTTCCGGTGGATAATGTTGCATTCAGCGAGGATAGCTTGGATGACCTCCGACAGGAACACTCGACCCCTATCACTGAGTAATTCCCGCGGAGCACCATGGCGTAGAATGAAGCTGCGGAGAATGAAGAGTGCAACTTCGTGGGCGGTCGCTGCCGGTAGAGCTGCAGTCTCAGCGTAGCGTGTCAGATGATCGACTCCGACAATAATCCACCGGTTTCCAGAGCTACTATATGGGAGTGGGCCATAGAGGTCTATACCCACGCGGTCGAATGGGCGAGCCGGGCACGGCAGCGGCTGTAACATGCCGGTAAGGTGCCGCGGAGGTGTTTTGTTCTGTTGGCAAGTGGTGCAAGACTGAATGTATTTCTGCACAAAACGATACATTCCTCACCAGTAATAGCGTTGGCGCAGCCGTTCGTAGGTTTTCAGGACACCTGCGTGAGCACTTTGGGGATCTGCATGGAAATTCATGCGGATGTCAGAGCGCATATGAGTTGGGACAGCAAGGAGCCACTTCCGACCACCAGGCGTGTAGTTGCGGCGGTACAGAATGTTGTCACGTAAGGAAAAGTGGGCTGCTTGCCGGCGTACCGCTCTCGTGGAAGGGACAGAAGATGGATCGGTAAGGTAGTCGACTAACAAGGCAAGGTATGGGTCTTTACGCTGCTCCGAAAGCATGTCAGTGCTGTCGAGTGGTGACAAGGTGGTAAAAGGGGGTGACAGAGAAGCCACATCTGGTGTTAATGGCGATCGGGAAAGTGCATCGGCGTCCGCATGCTTGCGACCGGAACGATATACGACACGGATGTCGTATTCCTGCAATCGAAGTGCCCAACGGCCCAGACGTCCGGACGGGTCTTTCAAGGTGGACAGCCAACATAGAGCGTGGTGGTCTGTGACCACATCGAAAGGACGGCCGTAAAGGTACGGGCGAAACTTCGTAAGCGCCCAGGTTATGGCCAAACACTCCTTCTCTGTCACGGAGTAATTCAATTCAGCCTTCTTAAGAGCGCGACTTGCATAAGCGACTACGTATTCGGTTTGGGTACCTTTCCGTTGTGCCAAAACTGCGCCAAGACCAACGCCGCTTGCATCAGTGTGAACTTCTGTGGCAGCAGTAGGGTCGTAGTGGCGAAGAATAGGTGGCGAGGTCAGCAGGCGGCGCAGCTGGTGAAATGCGTCGTCACATGCAGGTGACCATGCAGATATACCTTTCCTGTTGGAAAGCAGACTAGTCAGAGGTGCAATGATGGACGCGAAGTTGCGCACGAAGCGACGAAAGTAAGAGCAAAGACCAACGAAACTTCTTAGGGCTTTCAGTGATGTGGGCATGGGGAAGTCAGCGACAGCTCGAAGCTTATCGGGGTCCGGAAGAACACCGTCTCTTGTGATGACATGTCCCAAGATGGTTAGTTTGCGGGCTGCGAAGTGGCACTTCTTGGTGTTAAGTTGTAGGCCTGCAGAAGCTAGACACGCCAGAACCTCGTGGAGACGACGAAGATGTGTCGGGAAATCAGCTGAAAAGACTACGATGTCATCTAGGTAACACAAGCAAGTTTTCCACTTGTGGGCCCGCAATATGGTATCTATCATGCGTTCAAACGTCGCAGGCGCGTTGCAGAGCCCAAATGGCATGACTTTGAACTCATACAGGCCATCTGGCGTTACAAAGGCTGTTTTAGGGCGATCACATTCAGCCATTGGCACCTGCCAATACCCAGAACGCAGATCCAAGGATGTGAAGTACGCGGCGCCTTGTAAACAGTCAAGAGCATCGTCTATTCGTGGTAGCGGGTAGACGTCTTTCTTTGTAATCTTGTTTAAGCGGCGATAGTCCACGCAAAATCGAACGGTGCCATCTTTTTTTCTTTACCAGAACCACGGGTGACGACCAAGCGCTTTGAGAAGGCTGTATGACTCCACGTTTAAGCATGTCATCTACTTGCTCCGTAATGACGCGGCGCTCTTCGGCAGAAACGCGGTAAGGACGCTGTCGCAGAGGCGAATGTGAGCCGGTGTCAATAGTATGAGTGACAGTCGTGGTGCGGCCCAAAGCAGGTTTCTGAAAGTCGAAAGAAGAGCGAAACTTGTTAAGGAGAGCAACAAGTTGGCTGCGATGCGAGGGGGGAAGGTCTGCGTCAATAGCATCGTCGAAGGCTGGTGAGCTTGATGGCTCAGACGCCTGAGTGATTGCGGCAATCTGACATGGCGTTTCGTCGGGACGAATAATATCATTGATATGGTCGACAGGTTGCACATATCCTAACGTTTCACCACGAAGCAAGCCAATGGGGTAGTTGCAGTGGTTGGTAACCAGCATTACGGTTAAACCAGACGCAATCGTAAGAACGGCAAATGGGAGCACGATGCCCTTGCGTTCAGTAAAAACAGGGGATGGCGTAAATACCACCGTGGCGTCACGTTGCGCCACACATGAAAGGCTAATAGGGACTGAAGCTTCCGGAGGCAAGGTGATGTCGTCGTCAGCGATGAGTTTGCAGAGCAGTGGTGAATGGTCGGGCGATGGAAACTCACAATTTGGCACTAGGGACAGTTCCGCACGGCAACAATCAATGATAGCTTCATGACCTGATAAGAAATCCCAACCCAGGATGAGGTCATGAGAGCAAGATGGTAGTACGAAAAATTGGACGATGTACAAAACGTCTTGGATGACGACGCGCGCCGTACACACAGACGAGGGCTGAATGCGTTGCGCGCTAGCCGTGGACAGCACGATGCCACAGAGAGATGTGGTCACTTTCTTCAGTTTGCGACAAAATTTTGCGTTCATCACAGAAACGGCGGCCCCAGTATCAATTAACGCTTGTGTGGCGACTCCCTCAACATTGACATCAACAACATTTCGCGGCGAAAATGGAGGCCTTGATAATTGCGCAGAAGTTGCAGTTCTTGCCTCTGGAACTGCACTGATTAGTTTCCCTCCTCAGGAGGTGGTCTACGACGCATAGGAGATGGTGATCGACGATGAGGAGATGGGAAACGAGAAGTTGATGGGCGACGATCCGAGTCAGAGTGCCTCTGTTCGTATGCAGACGAGGTGGCCTGCTGCGACGTATAGGTAGGAGTTCCAAAGGAGGCGTACGCAGGTGTGGGACGGCGGCGGCAGTAGCGTGCAATGTGGCCAGCGATGCCACACGCGAAGCAGATAGGACGGTTGTCATGGGTGCGCCACTCATTAGATTGACGGAAAAAGCGAGGTGAGGGCCTGTAAACCGGTGGCGCTGCCGGAGGAGTTGGAGCCGATAAGGCGACTGGATGCGGTGGGGGCCGCGCGACCACAGCTGCGTAGCTGAGAGGTGAAGGCGGCGCAGTTGGTGCGTAGCCAGCAGTTGAGAGATCAGATGGCACCGAAGTGCACGGGTAAGAGGCCGGAACTGTAGGGAGTGCATTGCAAATTTCAGTGCGTATGGCCTGCTGCATATTCGAAGGGAGGCTTGTCGTGGGCGCGTCACTATGCGGCAGCAGGGAAAGCTGTCGGGCGACTTCCTCCCTGATGAAGTCTTTAATCTGGTTCGACAGAGTTCCTTGGTGAACGTTGCCATTGGCGAGTGCGACGGCCGAGATGGAATCTGGTGATGGAACACTCTGTCGGGCGATTGAACGCTGACGACGCAATTCATCGAAGCTCTGGCACAGGCTTACGAGGACCGCCACCGTGGTCGGGCTCTTCGCCAGCAACATCTGGAATGCGCCATCCTCGATGCCTTTGAGAATATGTCGAATTTTCTCTTCTTCAGGCATGGATGAGTTAACACGCCTGCAGAGGTCGAGCACATCCTCAATATAGCTAGTAAAGGTCTCACCAGGTTGCTGGGCTCGGTGGCGCAGACGCTGGTCAGCGCGGAGCTTGCGGACCTCTGGTCGGCCGAACGCTTCGGTCACGAGGGTCTTGAAGGTGGACCAGCTGGCGATGGCGGTTTCGCGGTTGGTGAACCATAGCTTGGCGACGTCAGCCAAGTAAAAGATGACATAGGCAAGCTTGGAGTCGTTGTCCCATTTGTTGCTGGCACTCACGCGTTCGTACAAGGAGAGCCAGTCTTCGACGTCTTGCTCTCTACTGCCGCTGAAGGTTGGTGGGTCCCGCTGAAGGGTAGCACCGGGGCAGGTCGACGGTGCAGTCGATGGTGCTGGCTGGGCTGGGACGGGCTGGTGGGCGACTGCGTCAGTCATGTTTCGCGGTAGTCTTTCAGGCAACTTGCGAGAGCGGAGCTCCAGGTCTTCTTGGGGATCTCAGCACCCTCCACCAAATGTGATGACGTTTATTCGAGCCGAGAAGTCGCAGCGAGGTCGCAACGGAAAGTGGGCGTACGGCAAGTCTGGCAGAGGCGGCACAAACTCTCGCGCAAGCAGAGCACGGGCTTTTTGTTGTCTTCCGAAGGCGCATACGCGTTGGTGCGTATGCTCCACTACAAAATCAGCTCTCCTGCTGTGCGCCGGCAATAACAGTACTTCTGAAGCCAGTTGCTGACGCAGTAGGACTGCTGTGAGAACCAGTTGCAGCGGCTGATGCCGTCAAGCATTGTCATATTATTGCCTTGTGCACGCACCGTGCCCTCAAACACTGCGGCGCCAGGCGAAAGCTTGATGGTCACCCAGTAATGGCTCGCATTTTCCGGACGTTCAGCAGGAGTCTCCCGAAGCGGAGTTACGTCAATGATTTCGAGTAGACGGTACTCTTCACACTTCCTCCCTCCCTCGCTTACCCATTCGTTCAGGTTTGCCACGAAGTGTTTTGCTAGCTTCAAGGCCACGTCACCCGTAACATTGGCGTCGGCACGTGCATCACATACACACCAGTGACGAGCGATGGACGCGTTAGCACACGTCCTTGTGTCGGGTATGTGGTGCAGAAGGCTGAGCCCGTACGTGGAGTTGGGTTGTTGGGCGTTCGGATAGTCGAGCAGCTCGACGAGCGTGGCGTGAATGTCGAAGGGAGTGGTCAGACGGTGCTGATTCGTGCGGAGACTTTGCGCCGCCTCTGGGTTCTTTTGGAGGAACCACGGTGGGAAGACGATGAAGGCGAACGGCTGGCGGTCCTCGAACTTGCCTATGTAGGTTGCGCGGTTTTCTCCGAATCGCATGCCATGGTCGCTGAGCAAAACGAGAACAGTGTGGTTGAGCGTACCAGAAGTCAGAAGAGTTTCTAAGTGTCGCCGGAACGGCTCGTCCGCATAGCCTGCGCTGTTTAGCAAGTTGTGCGCGATATCGATTATCCAAGTATAGGAGAAGAACGGTCTCTTGGCCATCAAGTTAGTGAAATGGGCGAGGTAGTCGAGCCGTTCTACGAATGGCATCGTGAGTCCCAAACAGGGGACACGTTGCCAATCTTCGGTAATTTTAGGCGAGTCGTCCATGGCCATTACGATGGGGCGCAGGTAATAATCAGCCGGAGCACGCTGAAAGCCGGGTGTCATGTAATTAAATATACCATAGTGTGGCGATTCCTCGAGAAACATAGTCCGGTATCCCCGTTCTCCATACATGTGCCATATTAGCCGGGTACTTAGGTTGTCGTAAAAACCACCTGCGACAGCCTGGGTGGCCTCGTAATCTTTGAGACCCAGGATCAAGGGGACCTGGTTCGGGTACGAGTTGTCCCCCACCTTATTGTATCCGTAAAGTTCAAAAGCGTCGAGTTTCTCGCGAACAAACTTTGCAGTCTCCGGCAGCTGCCTGTCAAAATTTAGGTATGAGACAGAATCCAGACCGAGGACTAGAACACTCATGTTGTGTGGAGTTCCGAAAGCTATGCTACAGCGTTCCTCGATAGTCTTTTTGAATAATGGATTGAAGAGGAATCGCTCATGAAATGGCTTGTCCGGAGACTGTCTTGTGGCGCATTCTACAAAGAGGAACTCCTTCTGAAGCAGCTCGCCAAACAGGAGTCGCTTTCTGCTCCCGTACAGGTATTCCTCGTCGGGTTTCTTCAAAGACTCGTTTCGGTAGATTTCTTTGTAGTAGCATACGAGGTCCTCCAGAATCACGCCATGTTCCCTGAGCTTGTCGCTTAGGACCATCGGATATCCATCCCTGCAGAAAGGAACACAAAAAAACATAATAGGGCCAGGAGACAAATTTTGTGCATTGCATGACGGCAAGTTTTTAAGAAAGGAAAGTAAAATGCTCATTGCACGCTAACAATTCTAGCACGCAGGTTATCGTTCTTTTAACGGCGGAACTGTTTAAAGCCACCGTTCATCCCACAAAAACATCATCCGCTTTTTCTTGACAAGTGCAAGAGTGAAGGTGGGCGGGATGAAGAGTATCAGTGAAGCTTACTGGCTGAGAGATAAATCTGATGAATACTGCTGAAGTCAAAGGTATTTGTCTTAGATTTACTGAGTTTGTACAGCCTTTTCCGGGCTTCGGTACAGGTAGATGAGCGAAACATTTGGCAAGTCGGGGAGAAGGCCACATTTTCGTAATTCATTAATGACAGTACAATCTGTCAGTGTTTTGTCGCAGAGATATTGAAGTTCTCGCCTACTCACTCCGTCGTATCCACGAGAGGAATTCTGTTTGCTCTGAGCCAATGCTGCCATGAGCTTACTTAGCGTGGAGGGAGCGTCAAGCTCCGCTTTAGGGTCATGTATACCGATATACGGTAGTTGTACTGCTGGTATTTCAGCAGCACGCCGAAAGAGTGAATCATGTGGTCTTCTAGTAAAGTAAGATCCTACAGTTGGAAGGGCTTCGAAAGAGAAGGCGTGCATCTGTTTTCGCTGCAGGCTCCTGATAACCCGCCATGACGTTTTATACCTGGTTCACGAGCAAAGATTGCGCATCTATTGTGCCAAGCTTGGGCTTCGAGCATTTTGGGTATTCTTTCAGCAGTCGGTATTGGCGTTTAGGACGCATGACGTCGCAATGAAGTCTTTGATGTTTTGCTTTATCGTTGTTGTTGTGCGTCTTGTTTAGGCTTACACCAGAGATTTGCGAGATGAACATCCATATTCATCGCTAACTCACTGCAGAGAATATATTCTTTGATGGAATTATTTATTTATTTCCCAATACTACGTGGCCTTCAAGCGTCCAAGCAGGAGCGGCTTGAACTTGAATACAGTTCACTAAATTTAAATAAAAAGTTTAAATAGTTTAAAATAATATTAAATAGTTTAAAAAAGTTTAAAATAATTTAAATAGCAACGCTGTGGCTTGTTTCATCGCGTCGCCGTAAACTGGCATGTGCCTCTCCGCTGAGTTGACAGTTGAGGCTGCTTAGTTTGTTTTGGTGTGGACACTCCAAGCATAAAAACGGAAGACACTTCGTGGTACTTTGTGGTTTCTATAGTACTTGTGCGTGTCCGGGTGCGTTTTTATGTACTTTCTTGTGCTGTTTCTGTATGCGATAGGGGCGAGGGAAGAGTAGCGTGCCTCATGTTTTCTATGCTCAAGTACCTTTTCTTTAGCGCGCGCGTGTGTGGCTATTTTTATGGTATGTGGTATTACGTCGCAAAGCTGTTGTGGGCCGCTGAGCAGCTCTAACGCAAATACGCTGCTGTGAAGTACGACGTATTTCTCTGCAATCTACAGTGGTGAGAAGGGTGCCGGAATGCGTTTGATTCAGCGTAGCGCTTTATCAGACGTGCACCGCCGCTTCCAGACGACAACGTCACGTTCCCGAACCAATCATTCTCTTCAAGGGCGCGCACAACGAAGCACGAAAAAAATCACAGAATATCCACGGAGTGAATGATGATTAGTGGGGTGAAGCGTCTGTTTATCCGTCCGTGTATGTTTTCGTCGTCCGTGTACGCGTCCTTGCTTCCGTCCTTCCGTGCATGCGTTTGTCTGTTTGTCCGTCCATCTATGCAAGTGTCGGTCCGTGTGTCCGTCCATCTGTTGGTCTGTCTCTGTGTGTGTCTGTATTTTTGTCGGTCTGGCGACGAGCCCGGGCCATCCCGGGTTTCAGCTCCGCTACGTCCATGCACCACGAACGAGGCGATAAGCTCAAGCTGCCGCGGCGCTCTACGTCCGCCCCTCTGCTCCGTCCATGCTCCACCAATGAACCGCGGCGTACGATGATGATCTAGGAGGCTAAGAGAGCCAATCTTTCCGGCGCATCCTAGGACTCCTTCGACCGTGTCCTCATCTTTCTTTTTCTTATGTTTACTTCTCAATCTATCCTTTGGATCCCTCCTTATCCACTTCCCTCGTGAACCACTGCTGAAGTGATAAGGGCTGCAGCGCCAGCACTGCTGAGGTGTCGCACTTAAATTCAGAGAGCAGCGGGGCTCACTTTTCTCTTCTTTTCTCTCATTTAAACATCACTTCCCCCTGGCACAGCCCACGCAGCAGCCAATCGGAGCGTAGCCTTGTGAGGCAGCGCCATCTATTATATTTGTGAGGCAGCACCATCTATTATAATGTGCTGAAGCTATTGTCTTTATTTTTTACCGTTTTGTTCTTCTGCCGGTTGCGCCTGTCGCAGAACAAGGTTAGACTAATGGCGCGTTCATACTCGGCCTCGAAGAAAGTGAGACTGGCGAAACTCGCCAGAAACTGGCTCGTTTCGCCGCCCAAGCGGCCAGAAAACGACGCCACGTGGCCGGCGCGTAAGAATTGCTCTGAGACCAATTTTCCCGCCATGCGAAACTAGATCCGGTTTCCGCTTCACACCCCTGGCTACGCTAAATCAAACCACGTGACCTAACCAGCTGGCTGCCGATTTAACATGGCAGCACAGGCGTCGGTGGTGGCTCGCATCGGCTCAAACCGCAAACTACCCGTACAGAACGACAAAGCTTGATGACCTCAACGAGAACGCGGCATCAAGAGCTTTACTTGGCTTACGATCGCCAAAAACTCTGAAAGTAGGCGGTGCAGCGGAAGCGAGTCAGCATGCTCTAACGTGTTGCGCGTTGGTGTAGAGCCAGCTGAATGCGCCGCCACCGCTGCGAGAGTGTTCGCTCGTGTCGTTTCTGCTGGCTTTTCTTCCGAAACAACGTTCAAAAAGGTGCGAGATGTTTCTTTGCACTACTTTGCATGAATAAATGAAATTTGGTACAAACATTAGTTCTTAGAAAGCAGGCAAACTAGAAAAAAATTGGCCCCGTATCTGCATGCGCGCCCGTCGCAAAAGTGATAAGCTGAGGAACGCAACGTGGCGGGTAGGTGACACCACCATCGTGCTTTAGCAAAGCGTTGGAAGCACTCACCTTTTCGTGCAAGCGTTGCATAATCAGCGCAGTGTGATAAGCGCTACAGTCTTTAGAATTACTTATGTATGCCTTTTCTAGTAAAAGATGAACATGCAAAAATATACGTGTTACAGTGCCTCAGATATGCGCAATAATTGCTTTTTTAATTGACAATCGCACACAAATGAACGCTAATACTTAAGCAACACTGGTGGGCGCTACGGATGGGCTCGGGCGTTTAGGGTATCGGCTGGTGCTGTTTAGAGTACCCAATTTACGGTAATGTTGGACAAACAAAAAAATTGACAGACAGAAAAACAGACAGACCAAAGTTTTTGCGTCGAAGGTCCCAAAAAAAGACTATCTTCTTTAATAACTGTCAATGTATCGAAGGAAGCATCTGCGGGATGGGGCAGAACGAATATGAACATCTTCGGCGCGCGTGGCAGCGGTTTTCCGGATGCTCTGGCATTTTCGTTTCTCTTCATTCTTAAGTGTGAATGCGCCAAACGAGGAGCTTTGCCTTTAAAACAACCATTTAAAGGCGCCCAGGGCGTGCTCTTATCCTGCCCACACGCGACAGCTCACACACATTCAGAGAAATTAGAAATCGAAGCGAAGCCTTTTTTGGCGGTTACCGTTCTCGCAGAAGAACCGGCGAGACTAAACCCTTTTCTCTGGTTGTCGACGTGGCACGTGCTACACGCCGTACCAATGCTTAGAATGTTCGCTTAACCGGAATGAATCCAAACTAGAGTTGACGGATGACGGGTCCTGAGCTCGGCCAAAAACGTCAAGTAGTCGAGTTTCCTGTGGGCCGCGTAGTGTGGTCAGTCGATAGTGAAGAATCGAGTTATACCACCATAGGAGCATTGTATTGAAGATAGTCACTGGAGCGACGCCCAGGGCTTTAGTTCGTTTGAAGAATTCCTTGCCGAGATCGAAATATTCAAGAAATGTTCAAACAATTGTGGACTTTTAAGGTGTGGTGAACATTCAAGGCCTCTGTGCTCTTGTGCAGCTTGTAATGCGTGAGATTGCACTTGTAGTGCGGTAGGCTTGTTCCAGTAGTTTATATACCTTCTCAGTAATTTTGTGAGTTTGATTGATATCTACCGGGTGTGCAAGTTTTTGTGAAACCTTTAATAAGACTACATCCTGTTTGTGTCGTAAACACTTGGCTGTACACTGTTTTTGGAGCACAGCCGGCGTTGCTGCTCTAAAAGGGCCTCATTTAAAATTTCTTATGCTTTCGTGGCGGTGCGTTTCAGTGGTTCAATACCACCGCCTTTGGAATACTCTTGGTGATTGCCCCCTTTTGAACGAAATCAGTGAACGTTTCAATTTTATGCGAGTCGAAACTATAGATCATTGACGCAGGGTATTCAGGCGTACTGTAATAAATATTGGCCTACCTTAAAGAAAATTTTCATACTGGGGTATAATTTGCAATTCTAATAACTATGCAGAATCGAACTTATAAATGTTCACCTACGAAACACGTTATTTACGGCCTAATGTCATGCGTAGAGATGCGTGCAACAGCGTTTATACAGGTTTTGAGACGTTAAACCCCACATATCAATCAATCAGCGTTTCTACAGAGAGACGTTTCGGTGCCAGAGGGGGCGTGAGGAGAACTACGACTTAGACACCGCTTCGGCGGCACGCAGCAGGTCACACTTTTTTTATCCAGTGGCCATAACAGAGTAAACTGTAGGAGCAGATAGAAACGGTACAATATATACGCAATTTTTAGGACAAACAGTGAAGCTTCATCACAATACCTGTGCAGGCTAGATGGTTTGTGTATGAAATATCAATGACACATTATTTCTACCTTCTGCACTCTAAAGTCTCCTTTCCGGTAATGAATTTATCAACAAA